ATATAGAATAAAAGTAAGAAATATTATATGCGCGCAGGCCGATACACGACGAGCAGCAGGAATTCCGTGGACAACGGTGGCGACGTGAGCGATTGTTACGACGTGCCACCACGAGCCATCCCCGTGATTCCATCGCCAGCGAGCAGTCCAAGCCCTGCACCTTCGTGCTACGACATCCCAAGGCCGCCTACCTCCTGCACGCCGATCTCAAACTGCTCGGGAGGATCGGGCGTGACGCCTCTCGATTGCTACGACGTGCCCAGGCCTCTGCAACCCCTCACCCCGAGCAGCTCGGCGTCCAGCCTTACCAACGATGGATCCCTCAGCGGATCGAACCGGTACGTTTCGATCCATTATTTTATTTCATCCTCGTCTAACGGGGCTTAACGAGCCGATACGTGGCGATGATCTGGTTTATGGACGTTTGTAACGTTAAGAAACGATTATACCGACCGCGGATAACAATTCGGTATATCTTTGTAATTTTGTTAAAAGATTTCCCTTTACGAACACGTTGTTTGCAAACAATTGCAAACAAAATATTTTTACTAATTGCTTTTACGAGTTGAACGGAAATACGATTTTCGCCAACGTTAGAAAACAACGAAATAAAACCACGATTAAATTACCATCTCCGTCAAAATTGTTCGTGCGTTAAATTTCACAGGGGAGTATAAATCAACGGTACACGTTTCAACGTTAAATACCAGACGCGAGGAGCCGCGTTACCTTTATATTTAGCATTTCATCTCTTCTGTATAATCACGAGCCACGCTTTAGGAAACTCTAAAATTCTTTCCTCGTAACTAGCCATTTTAACGGTCAATGCAATTGAAATTAAACCGTGTGCCGTGTAGCTTTTGATGTTTTGGTATTTCGTTAAGGCAATTTCGTTTTTGTTTGCGGTAACTATCAGCCGTGAACGGTCGAGGCGTCAACATCGAGTACGTTGAACTTTATACGCATTAGCTAGCGTAACGAGACACGCGGCTGCTAGGAAGTGATTTATTTCTAGAGTTTGAGCTTAAATACCGGACCTGTGCCAAAACACCGGTCATTCCTACTACAGTTTCGGAGAAATCGGCTCCATTTACGGTTCAAAATAAGAGAACGATGACTTTCCCCCCCTCCCCTCATGATTTCGAGTTAGTATAAAATGGAAAAAGATCGTGATATTTTACGTGAAAAATATTAACGAGAATTATTTCTACTTAACTTGTTTACGTTATTCGTTTGTTATTTTTATATAAAGATTAGTTTGGCGCAGTAACTTTCGCTTGTAAAATATTTTACTTTACTTTAATGCGTCGCCATCTGCTCACTCGAGCGTGAAACGCTTTTTTGCTACCGTTTTGTCAGCCGATGCTCTCTCGCGAAACAAAGAGAAAGAAACTCGGGTGAATTTTATCGCTGAAAAACCGTTCCAACCAGCCATCCAAAGCCTATTTCCATTCGGTTTCAACTCGGTTTCAAAGTTTTCCATTCGTTTAACCATTACGGCCGTTCTGACCACCGCTATTAATCAATGCCAACGAAAGGGAAGCTGGAATAATAACTCCGCCTAAAATATTTCGTGCAATTAGATACATTAAAAACGTGTTATGTTAACAAACTCACGATCGAGTAATAATTTTTCAAAAACTGTAATTCTAACATTATAATACTAAGAATATATATACACACACACACTATAGATACTCGTGAACAAGGAGCGTACGGTAGAGCGATTATGCTAACAAAAGGCGATTTCCGTTTCAGATCCAGCCTGGCTGCTCCGGATTACGATGTACCTAGATCGCGTCTTCCAGCATCCTCGTTACCGTCCCGGCACAATACGCCCGTTCCCAAAACACCGACACCTCCACCCCCGCCGCAAACCCAGCAGATCTACGACGTTCCAGTCAGCAAGGAGCTTCCTCTGGAGCTGGACTCCGCTTTGGAAGGCCTACAAAGGCTGCAGAGCGAGGCGTCCGCCGCGATAGCGAGGCTATTAGGATTCGTCAGCCCCGTATGGAGAACGCCTCAGCGATTAGACGCCACTCTGATGGATCTTAGGCTCGCCGCCCTCAGACTCAGAACGTCGTTGCACGATCTGGCTGAATTCGCCGAAGGTAATCCCCTCGCGGATTCTCAATCCTCGCAGCGATAAATAAACACCGTTCTCTTCTTGAACAAAATAATCAATTAAATTCCACGGAGAAATTATTGTATCTAACTGTGTTTCGTCAATGCAATGCTTGTTAACACATTCGTCACCCAACGTGATTTCGTTGAGTTCCTCACGGGGCTCAAATGTTACTGTCGGAAGGTCGTAAGAATGTAAACAGAGCGATAAACGGAAGTAGTTTTGATATTTTTATTTTATATATTTTAATATAAAATATTGGTTCTTAATTTTCATTAACTAATTCTGTAATTCTTTACTTCTTTGCTCCCTACTTTCCAAAGTCAATTTTATGTAGTTTGATGAATATAAGCCTCTAATTGGCAACTTCAACTCTATGTTCTATGTTATCGGTGGTAATAACAGCCTCCTATATTACCATATACCATATAATTTTAGATTTAAAATTGTATAAAAATGCAGAGTGATTCTCTAACAAATCATATTCGTCCCTCTTTTCTATTATTCTTAAATTTCAAATTCTCCAAAGTATATTTTATATTTATATTTCACTGCTTATTCCATTAAATTTCTTCTAAAATTCCGCTTTAACTCTTTGCTTAACTCATATGTCATGTGTATAAATATATGTATTTACATTAGTAAATATATAAACATTCTAGAGAGATCTTCTTACTTGATTCATAACTTTCTTAAATATAAGTACAAATATAAATGGTTAAAATCTTATTTTTTTTTGAAGAAGAAGAAGAAGAAGAAAATTACGTCACCCGTAATCAAAATAACCAAAAAACCAAAATAATAATAAAAATCAAGATAAATTAATTTGTTTAGAAATATTTTAAAATAAAGCTTCTAACTTTATATAAGATAAAATTAATATCTATATTTCTTTGCAAATAATTCTTCATTTTATTTATTTATAAAATAATCATTTATATAGTTTAAATTAAAAACATTAAATTTTCAATATAAAAATAATTTTATTAAATTTATAAATATATTTATAATTTATATTTGCAAATCAAATTTATTTAATGTATAATAAGCTAATAAATAAAGCTAATACCCTGTCGATAAATTAAAAATTTCTTATATAATTTTATATAAATTCTACAACAATTATAAAAATATTTTTATAATTGCAGAGTTTATATAATTTATTTTATAACGGGTGACGTGGCGACGAACGTGTTAATCAATTTTTATTTTATTCTAAATATTCCATTTCTTCTAACGAAAAGGAGCAATTCTCAATATCTTGGTTAAAACTTGGCTCGTTCAATTACCGAAGAAAAATCTCTTTTTATCTTAGGCACGCTTGGGAATGCGGGGAAAGCGCCGGACAAGGGATTGGCCACGAAGCTGCGACCGCTGGTCAAGGCTCTCCGCGATTCCGACAAGCTGGTGCAGGAAGCCGCGACCGAGCTCGACGCGATGGAATGGGACGCGAGCAAGCTGTGTCGCGGGGGTGGCGATACCCCGACACCCACTAACGGCCCGCCTTCCTCCATCTTGCCACCGGCGCAACCGGATCCGCTCGATCAGCTGATCGCGTGCGCCCGGGCGCTCACGGAAGACGTTCGTCAGGTCGCCAGTTTCATTCAGGTGAACGGAACCACGCTTTCTAGCTAGGCACAATCGAGAAAAACACACCTTCTGTTCCGATTTTATCGCTCATATGCACGGAAGGAAATTCGTTTCTCCTCTCATCTTCTTCTCCTTTGCACTCGTGTATCGACACATCCTATATTTTATTATTATAAATACGTATATTTGCGTTAGCATTACGTTCTAGGGACTTTTGTTACAATTTTTCCTTTTAGTTTCTGCTTAAATAAGTAAGTAAAAGATAATAAAAGATGGATGATAATAATGTTCTCATGTTTTCGATCGAATGTGAGAGAAAAAATTGCAAAAGTTGATCGGTAACATGGTTAAATGTAAATACGAGTGCAAAGGGTTTAAAAGAGTCGATCTATTTGTTCTCATCTTGAAATTTCGTGAATGGCAGGGTAATTCGACGCTTCTGTTCAAACGGTCGTCGATCATCTCTACCGGCAGCAGCAACAATAGCGGGGCAGGCGAGGATTACGATTACGTGAACCTTGACTCGAGAGAGGTGGTGGCGAAGCAACGCGAGGAAGTGAGAGCATCCCTGCCCCAGGAGCTTCGCAGCAATTACGATCTGCTGGTATCCGAGTCGGACAATGCCACGATTCAAATGCCACCCACGACACCGACACCCATGGACCCCAACGACAAACAATTGTTGGCTTTCTATGCCGCCCAGGTGATCACGCATGGCAATCACTTGACTCACGCGATTGACGCCTTCATGCAGACGGTCGAGCACAACCAGCCACCAAAGGCGAGTACCGTGAACCTGGAAATCCGAATTATAAACCGCGCGCTGTTTAATACGGCGATAAGACTTGCGATAAGAGTAGTTTAGGGGAATAGGGCTTTGGTATTCGGCTTTAGTGCTTGAAATTGGATTTGTGGACAAAGGGATTTGTGGTTGAATGGGATAATAAGGTAATAGAAATTGATATAGTAAGATCGAAAACGTTAGTAGAATAATAGAAGGGATTTGTTATTTTTCGGAAAGAGGGATTTAATCGATCGAATTAATAAAAAGTTGTTTTTCACGTTTTGAAAACAGGTATTCCTAGCGCATGGAAAGTTCGTGGTGCTGAGCGCTCATAGGTTGGTACACATCGGTGACACGGTGCACAGAAACGTTATTAGGAACGACGTGAAAACACGCGTGCTAGAGTGCGCAAACGCGTTGAACGAAGCACTGAAACAGACAGTGTCGAAGACGAAACAGGCAGCTCAATTCTTTCCAAGCGTGTCCGCCGTTCAAGAAATGGTCGACAGTGTTGTGGACGTCTCCCACTTGGCCAAGGATTTAAAGGTCGCGATAATCAACGGGGCGCAACAACCTTGAACATCCAAAGATCGGGTCCTAATCTCTGACATAAACGAGGGGAAAAAAAGGAGGAAAGAACAAATTTGGATATGTACGAGCTGAAAAAGGATTTGTCGTTTTTATTTTGGAAAAAGAGGCTACGTTGCGTTGAATTCACGACACCTCTGACAAGTTCCTTGGATTGATTGACAATCCTAATGATCAAACAGTTACTATCCATTAGGAACGTATACGAACTATAGTAGAAATGATAAAAAAAAAAAAGGAGGAATAAAAAATTTGTCATAGATCATGTATTCATTACAGATTTGATAGAAAGAAAAGAACGACTCATCCGTTAGGATATCGCGATGCTTAATCATCCAATCAAAAGGAGAGATAATATCGTGAAGAAAAAATGAAGAATAAAGTGACTAAACGACGATAAAAATTAAAATTGATAGATTTGTTTGAATAAATACGAATGAATATAGATTCGAAAAAATCCAGCTTTTGGTTTGGATGATTGCAAAGTAGTAGATCGTAGAAACGTGAATTATTGATTGTTAAAATGAACTGGACCAGGAAAGAAAACGCCAATTTGCTTTTTCGCTCAAGACTAGAAATTACATTCTTCCCTCTTGTTTGCAATAAAGAGTTCTCGAGGCCTATCGTTACTTAGATATACGCAACTGCCAAAGCCACAGGTATATAGAACGTAAGGGAAAGCTCCTTTTAAAATGAGCGTATGTTTCTAATGTACTCGAGAATATAGAGATCGTAGATCGTTTTTCTAGGAAACCATGTAACCGTGTCGTACATTAGCTAGAGGTGTGGAATTAATTAAACGACGTAAAAGATCGATAGTATGTGTAGAATGTGTTCGAAATGATTCTCGAAACGTGTATTGTTTGCTTGAAAACGAGATTTATTTCGAACTTGATACGCAGTTGTCGTTGCCAGCGTGTTAATTATTGTTATTCTAGGTGTGTATCATGTGACGAAAACTTAAGTAAGCAAAATATGAAACATTTTCATTTGCAAGTATGTTTACAATATATTATACTGCAACGAAAATATTGATTAACTTTAATAAGATTGATAAAATAAAAAAGAAAACGCAATAGCCTAATGTTTCTTGCAAAATGAGCTGCAAATGCAACAAGGAATTTTTTTATATATAAGAATACTTCGTAACAGCAACGTTTATGGCATTAACCTTTGTATCGAAAAATTCGAATGCAAAAAACGCTGTCTTTTTAGAGGCCAATTTTAAACGAATTTTATACAATTTTACCGCCATGGCGCGACTTTTTCGTGTCACATCTTTTTACGGGCCTTTCAACATATTTGATCAGTCGCAAACGCACAGTAAAGAGACTGCAAAAAAAAAAGCATCAGATTTGTAAGCCGTTTACAATCATTCCAATAATTTAATTCGATTAAAAGACGTGTTCCCTTTACAGGAGCGATACGAAAATAATAACTTGGAAACAATACGAAACGAATACGCCTTATATACGATAAATTTATCGATTATCGTTGGCTAACTCACTCCTACCGATTATAAAATTTTTCATTGCGATCGCAGCGTTTCCTTATCGTAGAGGTTAGTTTTAGATTATTCTGGTGTACGCTTTAAAACTTTTATAATCGGCAGGATTGCGATTATTTTATTAAAAGAAAATATTTAAAAAAAAATGTATAAGAACTTTTTTTTTTAATTCAATAATTTACATAAACAAATTGTATTCTTCGATTATCTATAAAATTACAATCTTACGTTTTATAAAAGGTAATCGACAACCGCAAATTTATAACACAGCTTTAAAATCCATTATATCATTTAAAGTATTTACTTTATCATCTTTCAAAATGCAATTTTTTTCTGTATCTTCTTTTTTACGGAAAAAGAAAAAAAGAAGTCGTTGAAGTAAAATATCAAAATGTTAAGGAATAAGTTAAGAACGATCATTCAACATTTAGAGAGTATTTACCACGATATAGCTTATACTTTATTTTTTAGAGATTATATAATTGAAGTATATCTTGTAAACATGAAGTTCGTTTACGAGAATTGTATAATTTATTGGCGGAGCGTTTTTGTAAGATAAAATGCAATTTTCAAATAATTATACTTTACTGTATATTTAGAATTTATACATAGGTGATATCAATAGGTGCTTATCACATTCTCATTGAAAATCATATTCCAATTAATTGCGACGTGCTATTAAGTGGAATAATTTTTTTTCTTTTTATATCAAGAAAAAAAAGAAAATGTGAAATGCATGAATTATATATATTGCCTTTGTACTATCATGTCATTTCGTTTGATCGCACATCGTACCTGGAATTTTGTTATATTGAAATAATTTTGCAATCGGGGAATGTTTTTAAAATTCTGAAAACATTTATAAATGAAGTTTTTTATCAATAAGAATTCTCAATTAGAATTTAAATATTGATGGTTCATTAATTCTAATTAATTTAAATTGAGAACTTATATAAATTGCGTAAATAATAAACTGTTAGAATTTTTATCAGGTACATTAATTACGGAATTAAAAATTAAAAAATCAATCTAAGGACTTTCAAATTAGTCCTTTAAACTTGAAAATAGTTTGTGTTACTTCAAGGACATTTAATATGTACATAAGTATATTTATATACATATATATGTATATTATAATTATTCCTATTACGATGTATACACGAATACAGTAATCAACGCAGCAGTGACGAAAGAAATGAAATATTTAAAAATTTTTGTGCAATTATAAAACTTTAATTTTTAAGTATTTGATCATACTCAAGAACATACATAAAGTATTTACAGATAGAAAAAATGATTAGAATCGTTTTAAATAATACAAATACAAAGACCAGATAATGAATGAATATTGAAAAAGAAAATTTTTCTTTAAAAAGTTATATCATCTTGCATTTGATTTGCTTGGTGAAATCTGGGTGATAATTTTGTATACTGACGCGTTACTTGTATATTATAGTTTCAAAATGATTCAATAAAGATTAATTGAATACAGGTAGAAAATGATAAACCTTTCATCATCATCTCTATTCATCATCTTTATTATTATATTAAGATTCATAGGTCTTAAATAACATAGTATCAATTAACTACACGCAATGTTACATTTGTTAGAAACTTTTTAACTCAATTTGCATTGAAGTACATACATTATTTAGAAGTCTCTCTCCTATTCCCTGTATAATTATTAACAAGTACACCTTCTTGTAATAGCATATAAAACATTTCATATGTCTTAGGTAAGGCTTGAATGAACACAAATATCCTAAGTGTTTGCAAAATTTTCATAGTGATAATATGTATATTAAACATTCAAGCCATGATGCTTGACTTATCAATATTTCATATATTTTTCGTGAAAATTCATTTATGAAAAATACATATTGTATGATTAAATTCAGTATGGAATTAATGATGCAAAAAATCATCAACAACCTAATAATTATATATGAACATCCCAATCTGACTATGAACGATCACAGCATCTGCCAGTATGTATGTGTGTATTACCATCTTTGTTTGTTTTTTCTTTTGTCATTTTTTTCCATGTAAAAGCTGCTAAGATCACGTTTCATTGCATAAGCATCTTCTCCATCTGCATAATATTTTGGTTCGACTTCTGATACTTCAAATTGCAAACTGCTTGTATATAAATTCAAAGCTGCCCGATTACTTCTACGAACATGTAGAGAAACATATTTTGCTCCGAAGCATTCAACCATTGCTCTGGAAGCCTGATTCATAAGTTTCTGAGCAATACCAAGCCTTCTATGAGATCTTTTTACTGCCAAACTTGTAATGTGTCCATGTGGATTATCCTCACAATCTTCTTCCATTTTAGCAAGAACATAGCCCACTATTCTGCCTTTTTCATCTTCTGCTACGTAACTTAATTGTGGCCAAGAAAGAGCATGATACAAATAATATTTCATTTGATAATTTTCTGGTAGACATTGCAAATTACAATGTTGTATATTCAACAAATCATCTGTTGTAGCACAACGTATATTTATAGACATTTTGATTACTTATAATGTTATGGATATATAAGTGAAAGACAATTTTGCTTTGGTCAATTCTCTTTTTTTGATATATTTTCTCTTATTACTAATCACTTTGTTTCAAATTTATAAATGTGATTTTAATCTTTGCGAATCTTTTTCATACGAGATCTACCATTCTTTAAGTCATTTACAGGTGAAGATTCACTCATACCACCCAATAGTTCTCGAACAAACCTGAATCTTGAAAGGAAAAACTTCCAAACTAAATACCAACCTGTGAAAAAAGACAAAACAAACCTTTAAGGATGAGAAATCTTGTAAAAATTGAACACCTACATTAAAACTTCTATTAAGCATAAAGACTACATATAATTCCAGTTGTTATAAAAATTATTTCTAACGAGGATACCGAATTAAAGAATAAACTAAATAACGTAATGGGAATATAATTAATATTACAAACAATAACCATAGAGAATTTTATATATATTAATATATATATTATAAGAAAAAGATACAAAACAAAATAGGTTTTGTTATATTAAAACCTAAATTGACGTCAAGATTATGCATACATGTAATGAAAAAGATTAAGTATGTAAGTATGTAGTCAACTCTCCTACTATACCTTCAACTTCGGAACTATATGACTATTCGACAGGTCGGATAACAATGTTTCGAAACACTCTGCATACCGCGCAGCAATAACGGAACGTTACTATCTGTCGTTCTTACCCAGCAGCACCAGGCCAAATACTATGAGTAGACTCGATATCACGGAGAAGGCTGCTAGGACGATTTCCTGCATTATTAATTCCGTACCTCGATTATCAATATACTAACGAACTTCCTAAAATGACACACACGGGAATAGTGTCATAACCTCTTTATATTTTTTGCTTTTTTAACAAAATATTAAATTCACCACATAAAGAAACACGAATGATAAATTTAGCACCACGTCGAACACAAATTTTATCTGCGTTTTTCGTTCACTAGCAGCACGCCATTTTGAATACGTGATGAAGTAGTGTGTATAGGTTATAAATTTTTTTTCCCCCTCCAATTGTGTAAATAAATTTCCCAGCGTAATTTAACAAGAGATATAATCTTTCAAGAATATATTACGTAACTTACCAAAGTCCAATAGCTTATATTTCTTTCATCGATCAACATTTCACATACAAAAACTTGAAAATAATTAAAATAGACTATCGACTTTTAAATAACCAACGAATAAAGCCGACAGGAAACAGTTATAAACCGCGATGATATGTGCGCAATCGCACCATTTCCGGAACAATCTGTTAGAGCGGTTTTATTTAAATTTCTAAAAATTTGTCAAATTTTTTAAAAATTTATTCTAATATTATAATATTTTAACAAAGATGTTAAGAATAAAAAGTTCAGTGATATCGTATAAAGCATAGAACATTTTATAACTAAAATGATATACAATGTGTTTATTACTGCTATATTCAAAATACAATTAATCAATTTAATCAATAATATATATTAAATACTCATATTATACAGAAAATTTTAAATAATAATTAATTCATTAAAATTTAATTTTCTTCTTCATCAAGTTCTTCTAAATGATCTAATTTAAGTTGTTTTGATCTATCTACCTTCACTATACATTTTTCTTTCTTAACTTTTGTCTTTCTTTTCTGACCAACAACATATTCTGGCATAATAAGTTTACTATTCTTAAAGACTGGCTTATCATTGTTTTCAATAATAATTGGTACATTATCTATATTATTAGTATTATTTTCAGGTTTTTTAAATCCAATTTCAGTAGATATCTTCTTTTTCTTGGATTTAAACATTATCTTCATTTGACTTTTGTTAACTAAATCAGATTCATTTATATCCATTTTTTCTGATTGTTTCATTTTTTCCAATGATCTCCTTGCTTTTAATTCTTTTAAAAATGACAATGCAGCTCTTGTATTACTTTCTTCTGTCATGTCATCATTGGATACATCATCCAAACTATATTTTTTCCATTTATGAGGATTCTTATGAAAATCTGGTATACTTCTATTAAGAGCACGTGGTGCTGGACCTTCCGGTCTCTTAAATATACTTTCTTTACCTCTAAATCTTCTTGTTTGACTTTGACGGCCAGCTTTTAAAATTTGAAAATAGTTTGATTGCTCAATATTTGAATCCATATCCATGGGTTCATTAACAATTTTATTCTTATTACATTCTTGTTCTGCATCTGATAATTTATCAAATAATAATTTTTGTCTATTTGCAAATGCTGTATCACCCCCATGTAAAATAAAATTTCCAGTTGTATGCATTTTATTTATTTAGCATTAACTTATTAATTTTTCAAGTTAGATAAAATATTTTATAAATGTTAACACCAAAATATAATTAACATAAAAAAAGTAATATATAAATTATATACGGCGTACTAATACGTTACAATAGATTAGAACATTTAATAGATATTTATTTAAACATATGTTTTATATTTTCATAGACTTTAAAGTTATTTATTGTCACTATGCCTATTTTTAATACTTAAAGATTTAAAAAACGTAAAACTATAATATTGATATTATACTAGGTTGTATGTACGCCGCCATTTTATCTCGAAGATAACTATCGATGTTAAAATCATAGAAAAATTTATATGAATATATATATCGCTATATATCAGTTTAATAATAAGCAAAATAAAAACATATCAATAAAACATAAATAATGATATTATTAATTTAGAAAATTATATTTTCACAAAATTATAAGAATAAATTTTAGTTATTTATAGTATAAATGTTTGTGATTTTGTAAAAATAATTTTTAAATATTATTTATTTACATTAAAATAGACATAAAATAGACATAATAGTTTAAAAAATAGATATTTATATGACATATTAACGATAAAAATTGGATTGAATAAATTCCGAAGATTTTTAATCATTTTAATCATTTTTAATCTAAAATTTTTAATAGATTAGGCAAAGGAAATAATAAATTTAATTAAATATCAAAATCATTTTTTGAGTGCATAAATTTTACAACAGTATAGAGAACAAATATAGATTAAAAAAATAAATAATAGAAAAATATAGATAGAATAAAAATTCGGAAATCAGCGCCATCTGCAACGCTGTAACTGAAACTAATATATATATAATATATATATATATATATAGACATATAATAAGAGAAATATATAGAACAAATAATCAAGAAAATAGAAATAGAATAAAAATTTCAATGTCTTTATCTTCACAATACCGTAAATCTATATAGCATCTTTTGAATAATTTTATATAAAGACATCTTCAATATTCACAAGATAGCATAGATGATCAATTCTTATTCTATCTCTAATCTTTTTTTACTATTTGTTGTCTTTACCTTTTTGTGTTTCATTTTCGAGTTCATATTCTAAAGATGACATTGATTTTATAATTTTTATCTATCTCTATTTGCTTTTTTTATCTATATGTTAGTTTCATTTACGGCACTCTGGAGATGGCGCTGATTTCCTAATTTTTATTCTATCTCTGTTCATTATATGTTCTCTTTGTCTATACTTGCTAGTGACCCTTAACCATAGACAAAAATTGATCATACTTTCAGCAAATCTTTTTTGAAATTCTAATATATTTAAATCTTTAAAAAAAAATATAGATTATTATATTTTGGACTTTTAATAAAAATTAGTATTAAGATTTCTATGCTCGTTTTATTTTCACTAGAATTTATTACATTTGCAATTTTTTTTTTCAATTTTTTCTTGGTTTACAGAAATATATAAAATGAATTGAAAAATATTATCACACATAATTTACATAAGCTATTATAAATAATCAATGATTCAAAATGAATTTATTTGTTTTTATAACTCGATTCAATAAATTTGAACAAATAATCGATCAGATTATAATATTCTATCGATTTGTAAATAATCTTTAACACACAATAGACTTAGCGATACTCGTATAGTCACATTCGATCTTAACGTAATCTGAATACGAGCCGCAATGAATAAAATTTAACCGATCAAATAGCAACACGAGATTTAATGACTAATGCATAATGGTAACGACAATAAACGCCTACGCGGCTATTTATGACATTAGCTCGCGAAAGGTGCTTGTTAAACGAATATGACAATTAACGTGAAAACGATGAATATCGCTTCAATAATCACGATTTTTTGCATCTATTATAATGATGTGATATCATATTTACTAATAAAATTCGATGTTAACAATTATATATTATATTCGGTTTAAACATAAACACTTGATGATTTTTAATTAATACTAATAATAATTCTAATAGAAAAATATATATATGTATATATATTGGCTAAAAGATAATAAAAATCTAAAAATGTAAATGTAATATTATTCATATATTATTCATATATTAATATAAAAATTAATTTAAATGTCATTACATTTTCAATAATTAAATGAATATAAAAACTATGTTAATATTTAAAAGCGCATAAGAATATTTAAATTTTGTACTGTTTATCTTTATAACAATAATTTGATAATAATTTTTATAACTAGTAAAGGATAGTAATAGTTTTAACATTTTTTAAAATGAATTTTTAAATTACAATATTAACCATAGAAATTCTTTAAAGAAATCAATCAAGTGTATATTAAATTTAAACCAAATATTTTAACCATACTAGCTCTAAGTTGACTTTACCCTTTAAAATTTAAGCTCAACATTTACTTAATAACAAAGAGATAACTCGGAGCTGTTTTAAATCAGATGATAATTGAAGTGGACGTTCGAAATGTTATAAACATATAAAATCTTGAGAGAAATGATAATTGTGAAAAATGTAATCTAAGCATTACTGTTTATAGTAATTTGATATGGCGCATAGAAAAATTATTGTAAAAACGAAATTTGCGCTGTTGAACGTCGCACCATTCACACGGACCAGCCATGGTTCCACACTTTAACTCATAATTTAAATGCTATACTATACTTTGAACAGCAATTATGAACACAACGAAAATAGCATTAACATACAACAAGATACAGGTAATAGTGACAATGAAAAACTAAGAATTCCATACAGGTTGATTATTTTTACAAAAAATTTTTGACATTTTTTTATCTTTATTTTCATTAAAAATAATAATATATGAATTAATACAGAAGAAAATTAAGAAATCACATAAATAATTGTCTGTATGGAATTTTTAATTTTTGATACATAGAATTATAAATACTTTTTAAACATTTTTTTTGAAAACTTATTCTTAAAAATCTTTAAAATTTTACATCAAAGATAATGAATAAAATTTTAAATAGATATGAAATTAATCGTACTTGATATTATCATATCATTTGACCCCATAAATGATACAAATTTCAAGATACAATACTCTTTATCAATATTATTTTTTTTTTTTAGAATTGATCTATTTTAAAATAGTAACTTAAAAATACGATTTTCAAATAAGTTTTTTCTTCAGGATCATGTCAATGTTAAGTTATTATCAAGAAGTTTATAAATATTTGCTTTATATGCAATACAATTTAAAAAAATCAATATAACTGACTGATTATTATAGGAAAAGTTAAGCAAATTTTATTTCTATAATGTATATACGAAATCATCATCGTATTATTTTTGAAACTGAAAATTTCTTTTTATCAAAATTTATTGTGGTTATATAACAAGTAAATATCTCTATAAAAGAAAATGAAAATGATAAAATATGTAAATCACAAAACAGTCATTTAAAATTCGAAAACATTTCAATCATATAAAATTCTTTTTTCTACTCTAAGAATATATCTCATCTCAAGGAGGAACGTCATATCTAAAAGCTTATATATAAAACTAACGAAAAACGACATTATTAACGTATAATGCATAATTAAATTTCAGCCTCTTTCAGCTTTCTTGTCATTGTATAATGAATTTTATTTGCAAAAATTAAATAAAAAAGGAAAAAAAAAAGAACAAAATATGAAAACGAAACGAGATCTATAAGACAAGCTCTGAACGATATTTCAGCGATACGATAGCAAATGATTCTTGATATCGATTCAATGCAGAATCATTATCCTTAGCATCTAAATTAGTAAGTCAAAAGATCAGAATGTTTTACATCATAATACGTTACAAAAGACTCGGTAAAAAAGAAATTTAATTTTCGGTGGGAGATTCAAGAATCTACCGATTTCATCGATTCCTCTTTATCTTGATTCTTTTTGTCATTCAATCGAAAATACATGCGAGAACTCGTACGAGACAATTACCAATTCTCGCGCAAGTCCTCTGGCCTTGAGTTGCACATTCCTTTCTTCTATTCCTTCGATTGTCTTGGCATTCTTTTTTTCCTGGTTTTGACATCCTGCAGCTTTGATCCTCGTACGTCCTAACACCGACTCTTGGTGTGCTGGTTAATCTGGGTAATGGTCCGCCGATCGAATTTCTAAGCTAAAAACAATATAAATCTTTTTTATACGATTATTTAACACAATCGAAATATTTATTTTTAATTAAGTTTCAAATATGTGAGATTTTTGAGAAAAATTTGATTTCTCTTGTTTTACTGTTTTATTGTTTCGAATTTTTCTTTCGAAACGATGAATATTTTTATTTTCGAAGTATTAATAAAATGAATTTTTAGCAAAAATAAAATTTATTGCATACTTATAAAAAAATAAAAAAATAATTCAAAGTGTATTGGAATTTTTATAAGATAATACAAGTTATATTCAAAAATATAAATTTATTTACCGTTCTTCTACGTTTATTATAGTATATCCCATTTGATTTCATATCTTCTGATTTATTATTTATTCTGTACTTTCTAACTGTCATATTGAACTTTGTGAGTAAATACTTCAACACACTATGAAAATAAAATTTATTATCTAGTTTTTTGTTTTCTCTTTCAAAGTGTAGATATGTATAATAATTTTTGTTTATTTTATCTTCTTTAATTAATTTTTAGTTTAAAAAGAGAAATAAAAAATTATACGTATAAAATCACACTTGTTAAATGCCAACATATTATATAAAAAATAGCCAAAAAATATTTTTAAACAGAATTTGAACACACTATTAAATCAATGAACCATGGACAGATAGTATGATTTATACTGACTGATACTGATCATGAACGCGGTATTCAGCAGTAAGATAAGTACTAACTCCTGATAAGTAAAGTGTATTTCACTTTCACTGCGATAACACCTCGAACAATATGACTCTTATCCAATTGCGGAAGATTAACGGTAATATAAGAAATAACAACAAATAGAAACAAACAATACGTATCTTGGCGATTTTTGATTATTAAAAAAATTTGAATGAACAAACTCTTTTGAATAACCAACTCTTTGCACGATACGAAATTCACGGTTGAAAAAAAATGTCAAAAACATACCTCTTCGCTCTCGTCATTTCTCGTATGTCCCAAAATTCTAGCCACGATATAAGCCGACTCCTCGCTCGAGAGGATTCCACTTGCCATAGGGCCTTCGATGAATTCTCTGTCGGTCATAAGAGGATATCGAACGCTGTACCATACATCATCGGATAAAGCGGATCTTTTATTGCTAGCCGATGGCTCGACACCGTTCCTTCTGCACTCAGACGCTGCCC